TCATTTCATTTCATTTCAAAGTGTGCTTCCCTTTCCTCTGTGTGTTTTGCAGCTTGCACGAGGAAATCAAGGATTTCTACGAGTACATCTCCCCACGGCCAGAGGAGGAAAAGATGAGATTAGAGGTTGTGGACAGAATAAAGGGAGTCATCAAGAACCTTTGGCCCAGTGCTGAGGTAAACCTCCCTTTTTTTTCTTTTTTTTTAATGCAGCAATCGCCCTCCCCTGCTTGCATCAAAGGAATAAAGTGAACAGTTTGAATCATTGGTAACTTATTAGCGCTGATACAGTTGCGTACATTGCCCAGGCTGCACAAGTTGACAACACAGCTCTCAATTACAGCAGCCTACAGTGCTGTCAGGTTGAATGTGCTATCAGGCCACTAGCAACAAATGTCCTCCGACTCTTTATCTCTCTGCGCCACAGTTCTGTTTGGCTCAAGCTATCAGTACCACCTCAGGCATTATTGCATTTACTGACTTTGATCTTGCTGATAGAGCAGCGGGTTTCTAAGTGTGTCTGCTGTGGGCCTAAAATAGGAAGCGCAGTACTCTTCCAGTCTTGGACAGCTTTTTATCTATGTTGATTTCTTGCCGCTGGGAGCAGGGGCAGTGTGGCCGTCCAGTTTTCACAGTGCTTGCTTAACTCATAACCGTCACCCAGAAAACGCTAACATGTTATCCAATAAGTCCATGAGGACACCGAAAGTTAAAGAATTAACTTGCTTACAAACATGTCTGCTATTCACTTTGCAAACCGACTGCATTAAACCGCTGAGTGTGGTTTAGCAATGATAAGATACGTTAGGTCTACCAGCGCAAATTAGGGGTGGGCAATATGGACTTAAAGTTTTATGAGGATATTTTGTGATACTGTTGTGATAACGATAACAGTGGTGATAAGAACTATTGATTATTTCTTTTGGTAATTGTATGGCTGTGACTGCGTGACACAGCAATCAAAGCCCCACAAGCACAAATAATGCTACTAAAGGGCACCTATTTATAATAATTTAGGACACCAGTCACAAAAGAAGTGATTTGTGTCAGTAAAATGCAAACATTTAAAGCATTTAAAATGATTTGTGTTTATTGATGCTCTTTTATTGAACAAACAATGGAGAAACATTGCAAAATTAACAATGCAAACTGTCTTAGTTTATTTTTTAATAATTAAAACATCATTAATTGGAATTTATTGTGGTAACAAGTCAAATTCTTATAAGAAATTTTATCACAATGAATAATAATCGATGTGATAAATGCCCACCCCCCTCTCAATCCGTCCATTAGAAATTTGCCTGAAAGATTACCGTAGTCTCGCGCAAGTCGCAAAAAAAATAAAATAAAATAAAATAAAATGCATCATGAAGAGAACAAAAACTGTGCCATTGTATTGTGACTAAGACGTGAAGTTTTAAAACAAGAAATTGAACATTTGAAATATATTCTAAGCTGATTAATTAAACTAGTAAAACTTTTATTAAAAAGTTTTGGGGTTTAAGAAGCTTTACTTTTAAGGGCTAATTTGAGAGGAGAGATAAAAAGTAAAAAATTCAAAGTTTCAGAACCATTGGCTTCACAAACCAGAAGCTGCCCAGCAGAAACAGAAAAAGAGGCCCAGAAATGTCTGCTGCCTCATTCACAGGACCAGCTTAATGATTTCAGGTGATCCGTTTCCACATTTCCATTTCTTGACTTGGCTGATGGGGAGATCTCAGCACAACAACTTATTGTTCAAACCAAAAAGTCACTGAGACAGGAAGGCAGCTGGTTCTGGTTCTGTTTGTTACATATCCATGTTTGAATTCGTAACCTGGTCATATGACAGAAACGCAAAGCAAAAATCTTGCAGGAATTTTACAAGTTAGACCAATGCAGAAAATCATGCAGCACAAACAAACTTCCATTCTAACTGAATTTCAACATGTTTATTAGCATTTTTGTAGTCAGGCAGAAGTTTTGGAATCAAAAATGGGGAATAGTGCAAGCCATACAGACTTTTTTTTTTTTCCTACTACATTCTTGGAATAAATATTGATTATGTTAAACCTCTTCTTACCTAAAACTGGATGGAAGTGGCAAAATATGAAAGCAGTTGTTGTTGGTGAAAGATGATATCTGAGTTGTTGTGTTCACTACGCTCTGATGCATTGCATCCGGGTTGAAAAAGGTTGCCTTAGACCTGGAACTGAATGACCGTCGGTTAGAGACGAGACACAACACGGCTAACCTTTGTCACCATGCGCAGTTACGTCACAGTTCATGGAAGCCTGCTGGACTCGGTTTCATTCACAGTCAGCTTAGGATCTTTACATGTGACTGAGCTGTTTACTAGCGTGTGTTTGTATGTGGTGATGTGGAGAGGAGGTTTAGGGGAGCAGGGTCAAGGCTTAGGTCTATTTGTGCACTGCGACATGGGTGTTTCAAAGGAAACAATAATATTTCTGTCCTCCCAGTAGCTTACACATTAAGAGATTAGTGGGTTGTTTAGTTTAAATTCTTGTCATATCTTAGCTTATTAGAAAGACCTAACAGAAAATGTAAAAAAAAGTATATCAAACAGTATTTTATGTGAAATTTGTTATTAAAAACATATGTTGTCTACATAGAAAGTAATTTTTTCTTTTTCTTTAGGTCCAAGTGTTTGGGAGTTTCAGCACTGGCCTTTACTTGCCGACAAGGTAAGCTAGAGTCAAATTTATGCAAATTCTTCTCACAGACCTTTCCAAGCTGAGACTTGTTGTTGACTTATAACCAAATCAGTTTTGCGTCTCAAAGAATTAACTTCTGTAATAACAGGGTTAGAGGCTATAATGAGAATGCGAGCTGAAGTTGATAGCTGCGCCGTACTTTAAAAGTAGAAAGATTGTTCTCAGAATGCATCTTATTTTTTCCTCATTCGTTTACGTCTGCATCAGTTCCGTGGCCTTCCTCTTTTTTTTCCATTTACTGAGCAAAATTTGGTTAAGTCAGCTGCTCCTGACTTGACCACAGCCTGATAAATCTCTGAAGACACATGCATTCATCAAATGTCTCTTGCTGACCATTTTGATGAGTGCATAATCTCAATGTCTTGCACTTCTGCAAGCAAGGGGAAAGCTGGGTGTTGGGGCATTTGCTCAAAGGTTAGGGAAGATTCTGGTGATGGAACATGTCAAATGAACACATAGGTTTAGTTTAAAAATATTTATTTCATACTTACCTAGAATAACTTGATAAAAATATACTACAATTTTCTACTGCCATTATCTATCAATCTGCTACTGTTTCTGATTTTTTAAAAAAAAAAAAGTTATTCCTAGAGTGGCCTCTGCTGGTAAGAGACTACTTGAAGACAGTAATCACTCCCCCCTTCATCCACAGTTATTCATGTGGAATTTGTGGATCCGTGGCAGTTTACTGGATAATTATGTAGTAGGATTAATCAATTTTGTTCTTCAATATTTTGCGTGTTTATTTAATGGTATCAAAGTACACATCATTTATTACTTTTATTGAAACATATCTTTCATTTGGCTCTTATTTATCCTGGCTAGGTGTGTTAAGAATCACAGCTTTGACAAACAGTTTTGCTTTTAATTTTGCAGATGCTGACAGATTTCACTTGTAGCTACAGAAGAAAGTTGCACATTTTCTCCACAAGGGGGAACCAAAGCTTCGCTCATGACAACTGTAGTTTGCAGGAGATATTTAAAGTGTCAGGCAGAAGCAAATTGAGGAATATGTATACTTGATAAATCTATTAAAAGGTGCGACATTATATAATGAGTTTTATTTTTTACCTTAATTTCTTCATAGCAGAGAGGGTTCTCAGTTTGTTGTTGTTTTTTAAGAGTTTCAGGACCAGTCCATCAGTCAAAGATCATAATCAGACATGGAAAATGCTTTTCCCATGTTTGGCTCTGATCGGTGAACTGAAGGTTCATTAAATACATAACTAAATTCTCCCACTGTTTCCAGTCTGTATACTCATTAATGAGCTGCATGTATTTTAATGTGCTTTTTAAATGGCAAATCAGATAAAGCTTAAATGGATTAATCTTACGATTCCTTTGTTTACTATTGGATTTCCCTCCATCAGAGATCATTTAGTGTATTTATTTCATTCCTTGACATAAAAGATCAGACTCACTTGAAGTTTGAATATGCAGGAGAGACCTCAAAAACAAAGCATAAATCAGTGTTAATCAGGAATGACCTGATCAGTGTACCTGGAGTATCAGAGAAGACTATGTTATGGTCTTTTATATCTTCTGTTTCTTAGACTAAACATAAGCTTCACTCTTTCTTTCCCTACAGTGACATTGATCTGGTGGTTTTTGGGAAGTGGGACACACTGCCTCTCTGGACTCTGGAGGATGAGCTGCGAAAAAACAATGTTGCAGATGAGAACTCCATCAAAGTTTTGGATAAAGCGACGGTAACATTTCACTCCTCAAAAAAAAAAAAAAAACAGTGTGATCTTGTAGTCTGCATGATACTTTTTCTGACAAATATCTGGCGTGTTTTGCTTTACTTTTTTTGAATGGGTTCCAATTCTACTTGCGTTTTCATGATTCACCTTAATCTAGATCTAAAGTAAATATTTTTCCACTGTCTTTCATCGTGAGTTATTTTTTTGGTCTGTGTTTTAGGTTCCCATCATCAAACTTACTGATTCCTTTACTGAGGTCAAAGTGGACATCAGTTTCAACGTGAATGGAGGTGTTAAAGCTGCTCGGCTCATCAAGGAATTTAAGGAGGTAAGATCTGCAGCGAAGGCCCTTTGCTCAGCTGTAACACGGCTCCTGGATTCACTGATGCAACTTTTAATCACCTGTGGAGACACTGGCAGGATTTTTATCACTTTTATCACAGGAGACATAGTAGGAGTTTAAAATTATTCTGTCTTTTGGTTTCTTTGTCCATTTTTTCACCTGCAGAAATATCCTGTCCTGCCTTACCTAGTCCTTGTGCTGAAGCAGTTTCTACTTCAGAGAGACCTCAATGAGGTTTTTACTGGTGGAATTGGTTCCTACAGTCTCTTCCTCATGGCTGTTAGCTTCCTGCAGGTTTGTTTTGCAAATCTAGGGATTTTCATTCCCCATGTTCCTAATCCTCTCTTTACTCTCTCTGAATATTCACCGATTCACCTGCTTTTGCTTTTTTGTCCAGCTTCATAACAGGGACGTTTCCAGCCCCAACATAAACATCGGTGTTCTGCTAATTGAATTCTTTGAGCTCTACGGTCGCAACTTCAACTACCTGAAGACAGGCATCAGGATAACAGACGGTGGTTGCTATGTTGCCAAAGATGAGGTTCAGAAAAACATGATGGATGGATACAGGCCCTCTATGCTCTACATTGAGGATCCTCTGCAGCCAGGTAGGAACAGGAAACAACAGAAACGGAAGGAGGTCGGAATTACCTAATTGACATGTTGCCTCCGTCTTGCTATCAATAGACAATGATGTTGGCCGGAGCTCATATGGTGCCATGAAGGTGAAGCAGGCGTTTGATTATGCCTATGTTGTCCTTGGCCATGCTGTGTCACCCATTGCCAAGTACTACCCCAACAATGAGAATGAGAGGTAAAGTGCTAACCACAAACATGCTACTCATGCACTACAGAATACTCCTAAGTATTCTTAGAAGCTGTTTTCATTAGCAGTCCTAATTTAAAGAGTCTGTATTTGGAAATTAACTGTTTTTCTCACTGTTCCTAACCTCAGTATACTTGGTCGGATAATCCGAGTGACTCAGGAGGTGGATGAGTATAGGGAATGGATCCGAAAGAACTGGGACAGCCAGTCTCAGAATGATCGCTCTCTCAACAGTATGTATTAGTTGTACTTGTAACAAAGATTATATCACTCCATTGATACGAGCTGCAGCTACAACGCATCCCTCTCGTTTCCTATAGGAAATGACGTCAAACTACTTGAGTCCAAACAGCTTGACGAGTGTAACAACAACTTCCCGGACGACGAAGATGTTGTGGTTCTTCCTTCTGCTCCTCACAGCAAGTCCTCTTCCAACACTTCTTCTCCACTCCCGTCTCTGGGCTCGTCTCCTTCCTCGTCCCCGCTGTCGCCGTCTTCCACATCCTCCAGCGATGGGGTCAGTTTCCATCACACTTAAATATCATATAACCAAAAGAATGAGCAAAGATAACTTGATTAAATATAAAATACAGATTTAAAATGATAATTTCATTTATTAGAGGCAAAAGCTATCCAGATGAAATGGGCCAATCTAAAATTGTGGATCTGAACGACTTTGACAAAAAAATAAATAAATAAATAAAAAAAAAGCTAAAGAGGTCGGTAAGAAGGAAATGCTTCATGTAGATTTGTGTTGTTGGTGGTTTCCTTTAGGATTCGGATGGTACTCCATGCAAGACAGTCAAGCAACAGCCTGTCCGAAATGCTAGCACACATAGAGAAAAGTCTACAGTGGTCAGTAATCACCGCATACAGAACCACTCTACCAGCACTCCACCTGCAAGCAACAAAGGAGGAAAGGTATGCTTAGTCTCAATTTTCTGTTATTAAAGGGTTCAAGAGGAATAGTTCCATATTTCTTTGTTTAGATTTTTGGGAGTTTTTTTCTTGAATAATAGTGTTTTTTATTTTTTAGAGTTCCTATTTTTGACCTTTTGGAAAATTATTTAAGACACTGATTTAGCGAGTGAATTAGTGGTATGAAACCGTATCTTTAGGTATGCCCTAGGGTATATCCTTCCACTGATTACTTTTGTTTTAAGGTATCTTAAGCAGTTGGGTTGCATAGCAGTGAGGGTACGTTTCTATAGCTCAGCAGCTACAAAAAACAAAAAAAAAACAACACAGGTGGACTTTTTACTCACCTTAGATGCTCACGTAAAACCCAATCCATATTGATATGTTAATTTTCTACCCACGTCTACAGTGACGTTGTGATTGTTGCTTTCTGTGTCTACCATTCTTTGCAGCTGTAGCTAGTTATCTAAGCCTCTCAATGTCTTTTCAGTCATTGCGTTACCTGAACATTTTTAGGATTTACTCATCTAGTGAATGGGAAAATTGTCCCCTGATGGCATTTCCGGTACTCCCACTGTTTTACAATTTCTGGCTGTCAGCTGTGAAAACTGCCAAACGGTCAGCTAAAAAAAAAAAATCTGAGAACCAGCTGACTATAAATCAGAATATGACTGGCTTAGAACATTTATGCATTTTTACTGTTATTTAGTTTAAGAATGAAGGTATTCAGACAAGGAAGCAGATTACACTAGAGTAGACACATTCTGCCTAGCAACAATTTCTGATTGGCTAATTTTTTACCCAATACAAAATGAGTCACATGGCAAAGCTGAATCAAAAACATTAAAAAAAAACAAAAACATAGTGACATCTGATCAAGAAGCCCTTTAGTGTCCCCAGACTATGATACAACTCTGGTTTAACCGTTGAATTTCTGAGACCAATTTTTCACACACCTCAATCAAATAAGCAGGTCATTAACCAGACAGTGAAGAACTTGACTGCATGGAGATAAAATAGTATATCATTCAGCCATTTGTTTCAGATGTGTTGAACCAGGAACAAATTTGAAGGTTGTAAGAGTTTGTCTTTAGTTGTGCTAAAGTCAAACTCTCCCCATTAACAGTTTGTCCTTGGGGGTCAAGGACAAACTCAGTGAGTGAGTTTGAAACCACTGTCCTGTCCTGCTTCGACATCTGATTGTTGCTTTGTGGTCTTATGTGACTTTTCCAGGCCAGGATGTCTCGTTCCAACAACAAGAGCGGCCACCACGGCCAGCAGAACTCGTCCTTCAGCTCCAAAAGTCATCAGAGCAACAAGCCACACCACCAGGGGAACAGCAAGAAGAGGAAAAACATACGAGACTCTACACAAGAAGATCTTTGCAGATAGGGGTTTGTCTGCTCATCCGTGTTGTCACCGACAACCATCTCCCTTCCCCCCACCCACATCCCCGTCTGCAACTGACTATCCTATCCCACTTCTGCTGCCAGATGGGGGAAGTTGTTAATTTGAAAACTTCTGCAGAATCGGTCACCCATTTTTTATGGTGGCAGGTATTTTCTAGCAGAAATAGGAAAAAAAAAAGTGTTATTGACCATAGATTTAATTTCTTGGAGCTGAACTGAATCACAGACATTCATCTGCTTTCCAGCAGCTTTTACGAAGTAGTTATTCCTTCCCACAGCCAGCCTCTTGTGCCTCCTTCTGTCGAGGATCGAACAGGTTGGATGTCTGGAATCTCCTCTGGAGCAACATCTGGAACTGCCGGCTGGAAAAAAAAAAAAGAAAAAAAAGGATCAAAACTATTGTGCAAAAACGTTTAAAACAAAAAAAGTAGAAATTGCAAAATGTACAAAAATATAATGCTGAAAAACAAACATACACAGATTTTCTTTTAAAGCTGTTCACTTACAAATCAATCAGTAAGAGTGGGAAATAACTTATGCATGAGATTTTTTCTGTTGGTTGATTCTACTGTTGGATTAATCTGTTTTGTTATGTCCAAACAGATTGTACAAAAATTTGTACAAAAAACAAGCATATGCAAAAAAAGAACAAAAAAAAAAAACAAAAACAAACTGTTAACACAAGTTTCATACGATGTTTTTACAAGATTTCCTGATTGAAGTCACAGACATGCACATCTTATTCCCGTTCCTGTTTGGCTAAAGCCAACAGGTGGTTTGGATCCCATTGCCAACGGAAATCATCAGCATCCACTTTTACTCCTGGTCCCCGTCTATGATTGTGCTACTGTGTTAATATTTAGCCTTGAGAGAGCCAGAGCTTAGACTACGTCTCCCTAGATGACGGAACGGAGCTCTGTCGCATCAAGCTCAGTAGCACTACCACACCAGTGTAAAGGCTTTAAAACTGCAGATTTAAATATATATTTGTGGTGATAATGGTTTTATGAAAAATCCTAAACTTGAAATGTGTCAACAGTTAAACTATGGGGGGGTGGGGATAATCAGTTTATTTGGTAATCTACCTATTACAGAATCGTTTGTATTCGTTAAATGTATTTATTTTTTTATTAATTACATGAACATAGTATGGATAAATGTATAAATGTATTATTAACATTAGAGCCCATATCTTCAAGTCCTATATTTGAAATAGAATATGTCATGGGAAGGTGGGGTGGGGTAGGAACAAGCATTCAGGTAAAGTAAAATATCACCTTTTATTGTTTCTGCTAGACTTTTTTTTTTTTTTTTTTTATTTCACTGACTGTTGAGTGACCAAGTTTCTTTTGATAATTGAAGAGACCATTTTGTAGGTCATATATTGAGAAATGTCTTTTAATTCGTGGCTGGTCTATCTAGACTAAAAAGGGAGCTTTTTTGCCTTTTGTTTGTTGATTTTTGTTGTCCAAATTTCTAAAATGTCATGGCTGCAAACACTTTACAAAATGTCAAATCCTTCTGTTCTGCTGCTGCAGTACAACAATTAACCTGTAGATGGAGTTATAGCTCTGTCTTAATCTATACACTTTGGGCTTGTATACTGCATTTGAGTAGTTTATTTAACTGTCACTTTTTGTTATTGGTTCTTTAAATGCTCATATCCCCACTGAATGGGCAGCTGCACACACAAACTCCCCTTTTAAGCTGAGTACTTGCTTGGAGGGAGTGACACACCAAAGCACAGCTCAGCCTCTTATTCTCATCCTGAAATGACCCTTAAATTTAAAATAACCAGCAATAAGCATCACCTTTTATTCTCTTTTATTTTGCATGCCTAAACAAACAAAAGCACATTCAAGTCTCCTTACTGCCCATTAGAATTTGTGTTAAAAGGATAAAAGACAGTTCCACCCCTCCTCACCAACCAGGGTTACAGTTGTGGTTAAAATGCAGTATAGAAGCGCAGCAGGGCTTCTGATGGACAGATGAAGAGAGATGTGAACCAGATTTGATGTGCCATCTGAATGTCCCCTCTCCACCTCACTTTTCACTTCAGAAAGGCTTTGAACCCAACTGAACTCATCTAAAAAAAAGGTTGTTCTTCTGCAGCTATTACAATTCATGCAATAAAAAACATTACCATTACAATGTGTGTTTTTTCTTTACCTCTGACTTTTTGTGATGTATGATATGAAAACGAGCGCCATCAGTGGCGATGCAGACGATATGACTCACCGTTCAGGATGACTGGTTGGACTTGTCAATTGGGCCCAACCAGGTTTTTTTTTTTTTTTTTTTAACTTATTGCTTTATTCTGTATGCCTCTGTGATAGACTGATGACCTATTGAGGGTTTCACAATAACCAGACATATCAGCCCACCTGAGCATCATCTCAGTGGATAAGCAGATTTTATTTACACCATTTTAAAATTAGCACATTTTCATTTTAGTACTGGGGCAAATTAATTTTTACTCCTATTTTGACATGACTACCTAATTTTTAGACCAGAGTGAAAACTACCATGACTAAGTTATTCCACTGATAAAACTCCACTTAAAAAAATTATAAATTTTTAATTAAAGCACAGTTTTAATCAGTGAAACCTGTTCTTAAGTTGTTTTTATTTCCACTATAGTCTAATAATTGGGCCGCATTCTTTTAAGGACCGCCACTGGCCGTGGTAAATGGCGCACTCGGGCATGCGCGTGGGTGTCGGTGACAGTGATGGAGTGGAGGAGGAGCGACGTTGCGGTGATGAGCGAGCGCGCGCAGTGCCTGATGAGGAGGAGCACGGGGACCATAACATTACGCGCTCAGTCTGTATCTCCAGTGGACAGTAATGTAGATTTATCCCCCCGGACGCTGTTGAGCCGCGCAGGTAAGACCCTGAACTCGAAGTAAATAAATTAAGAACTATTATTTCTCCAAGTGAGACCTCATATGATGAATGCTTTTTGTCCCACCGCTGAGGGAGAGTTTGATTTTTAGTTCCTCACTGCTGACAGGACGTTGTATAGATTTGACCGTTTTAGAAATGAAAACGTTTTTGCTTTTCTTTGGGTTTCACAACGTGCTTTTGCAATTTGCTGTTTGACTAAGCCAGAAGTTCAACCGGTGTTTGAAAACACGCGTGCCAACGAGATTGTCGCTTTCAATGAACTTGAACACGAGTTGCGGGTTAAAATGTGGAAACGTGTGTTTGATGACGCGCGGTATCTGAATACAGTATCAGAAACCTTTTATCTGCGTTTACCCCATTTTATCTAGCTTTTATCTCTTCTCTGGTTAAAACGGTATTCTCATGACTGTTGAGCAAAGCAGACGTGAAAGTATGCACCTTCTCTCGCTAACTGTGAGGTGTTTCCGTACCAAACGAGCATCTTTCTTCTGGGATGGACTTGGTATAAACAAAGCAGTGAAATCTTGACGTCTTCATGTCGTTATCTCCCGTTTTCTTTTGCGATAGGGACCTTAAGTACCTTCTAGAGCTAAACTTACAAAAATATTTTCAGCGTAAGACAGCGGCTCTTTTCCTCGTTGCAAATATGTAGAACTGCTACTGACGTGTAAGAGGCTGGTTTACAACGATTCCTTCATTTTCCTTTGCATCTCTGATAAAATTCCTGATGAAAAAGTTTAAAATGTCACCTCCGTGCGTTTCAATCACTTAAAATTTCATCGATGATAAATTTTGTAATAGGAATTTAATTAAAACTAAATTCATATAGATGTATTTCAAAGAGTTATCGATTTCAAGGTGTTTTCATTTACTATAGCCTACAGATTTTATCCTACACATTTGGAAGATTAAATCTGGCAAACCAATTGACTTTTTTTTTTACCTGCATGAATTACTGCATTAATTGAATAAATTAACCCATGACTCTGGAAAACACTTTACTTCCACTGAACTTTCCTTTAATATTCTGATGTATAAAAAGATTGCTATACAGTCTTCCCCTTAATTGTGTAAGTCATTATGAGCATAACATAACACTTCTATTTTAAAAAGTTATGTCCAACAGTCTATGCAATATTCAAATTATCTGAGAAATTTGCTTTCGGTGTAAAGCATAATCACAAAAACCACAAAGTATAATTTTAGAAGAAACCATCTCATCAGAGGGCTGTATCCAAGCATGTTGAGTGAAAGGAAAAAAGTGTGGTTAAAAACAAGGCAGCATTAATACCTGATTTTATGAACACTGCATGTGCAAGATAGACCATCAACCATGTCTCAAATTGCAGTTGTCGATGGCCAGAGCGCTGCAACTTTTAGATGTGTCTTTTGTCCTACACACTTGAATTAAATGGCAAAACAACCTCACTAGCATGCACACAAACTCGCATTGCTCTGCTAATGAGCTAATATTGGAGCCAGGTGTGTTGAAACAAAGAAACATCTATCAGGGGTGTCAAACTCCAGTCCGCAAGGGCCGATGTCCTGCAACTTTTAGATGTGCCTCTGCTGCACCACACCTGAAAAGAATAATTAGGTCATTAGCAAGGCTCAGGAGAACCGATCTACACAGGGAGGAGGTAATTAAGCCATTTCATTCCATTGTGTTTTACCTGTGGCACATCTAAACACTGCAGGACAGCGGCCCTTGAGGACTGGAGTTTGACACCCCTGATTCTAGAAGTTGCAGGACACCAGCCCTTGACGACTGGAGTTAGCTTATTGAGCAGGATTCTGCAGCTGCAACTTTTTGGATGTGTCCCTGCTCCAACACACCTGATTCAAATCAATGGTTAATGAAAAGGCCTTTGCCAAACCTGCTGACATTTCAAGAATGTATTTCAGCTTTTTGATTCAGGCGTGTTGGAGCAGGGATGCATCCAAAGTTGCAGGACGGTGACACTCAAGAACTGGAGTTGCCAACTCCTTTTATATGGAACCAGTTGTCAAGAGGAGGATAAATAATGCAGGCAAGCTAAGGGACACTATCAACTTAGTTTATTTATACATCAGCGATTCACAACAAATGACATCCCAAACCACTTTCCCAAACAACCAGATTAAATTTATAAACAGAAATGGTCGTTTTAATCCTATCCTTTCGAAAGATTCAAATTTATTTACATGTTTTAGTTTGAACCTGGTTATAGAACAATACATTTTCTGTTTTTAATATCAGTCAGTAAAAAAGCTTGACATCTAAGGAAACCAGGTAACTGCATAGGTAGAAATCCTTCCCGCTAAACATTAAAGTAGG